TCCTGCATTTGGTCAGTGATGTTAATACTACTAATAAATAGTCAAACTGATTTACATAAGCATGCACATTTTAAATTTCAGAGCACATGCAGTATGTTACATTCATCAGAGATAACTGTTTGCCCTCTCTTTTCTCCCTGATCTTTCACTACTGAGAGTTCAAGTAGCACAATTTTAAACAGGAATAAACCCTAGTAATCAACCCCAGCTGTGTTATAGGCTAGAGATTGAATCCCTCTGTGTAGCCACATTTCCTCTTTAACTTAAAAGGTCTAGAAAATTAGTCTCTAGAGCTGCTTACAGTGTAACTGTAACACTGACAGACACCAGTAGACAGGATTGAACATAGGCCCTTAAGAGCTTAGTGTATGAGCCTCGACCACATAAGCTAAAGGCCAACTGGTGTTAGCTGAGGCTGTAGAGCAAACTAATTTTTTCTCTCTCTTTAAGTGGTCTCAGTACCACTAGATGGGACAGAACTCCACGCCCAGAAGGTGTATGGGTTACATAATGTATTACTCAGCTTCAGAAATGGTGATTAGAGGCCCAGGCTGACTTGGTTCATGCCGCCTAAATGGATCGCTACTGAATGGCCTCTGCTGGTCTTTGTCTACAGAGAAAAGCTAAGTTGTATTATGATCCACGGGTAGAAGAGTAATAGAGAGAGGTGTCATAGACTAAGGTAAATTAAATTCAGAGTCCCTTCATGGTGGCAGAGACTGGTTTGGAGCAGGGAGTGCTTCTCCAGAGTATAGGGGGGCGACACACGTAGCTAGTGTCACCCCAAAAGTAGGCTAGGCAGCCTGAGTTGCACTGATTCAGCACACCCAAGCTGCAGCTTCTAAGGTGAACTTCTATGGAGCCCCTAGTGCAGAGTTCAGCTGCTTTCTGTCCCTTGTCCCCACCTCATCCTTCCTGGAAATACAATTTGCTCTACCCTGCGAGAGTATCATGCCCCCTTAGAGCTCAGTAGCCCTCAAAGCTACAATTTTGAGGTGGAGGGAACTTCTGGGCCTATGTTACTTCTATGCAGCTTTCTTTCAATCGGCTCCTCCTGGCTTCATACAGCCACCGATTCTCAGGGAAAGGGAATGTAACACTCGTTTTTCTGGCCAACACAGTGTTAACAGTTATGAAGGGATCCTTTCTACTCATCCTCTGGGTCACATTCATCTCTGTTATTTTGGGGATCTGACTCAATCTCGCTGGCTCCATAAACAGGAGTAAAGATACCAGCGTAACAGTGCTGTAGACCAATGTTTTCTGATATTCCACAGCACAGGTACAGCACCGTCCACAGAAAGGCAAGCTGCTGTCTCCTATGCTACTTCCCCAGTATGCTTCAACCATGAGCTGCTCCAGAGGTGAGAGGAAAAGCCAGTCTTCACTGCTTCCTCTGTCCTTGCAGTCCCTGCTGAGACTGTTCACTAGATTGAGACAGTTTTTCACTCCTAAGAAAAGGAGCCTTTAAACACACTGGGGATTTTTAGGTCTTGTAGCCAGTGGGATAAAGTTATAAAAAACAAAAAACCACACAAACCACCAGCAATTATAACAATTGCATTTTATTGTAGCCCTGGAATGCAGGAATAATGACTTGATCACAAAAGGTATAGGTCAATTTATTGGGCAATGGGGAAATGGCTTAGCAGGCTGTTTCTCTACAGTTAAATTTCTACCATCTACTCTTGAGTGTGATTAGATATAAAAATGCCTCGGGTAATAACACTGGTATCAATCAAAACTAGATCTGGTCAGACTGGGAAGAAAGTCTGCTGAGCTGAGTTTAAATCCAGAGGACAGGGAAGATTGCTTTGCTATCCCTTAGATTTTCAGTGGTGCACAGGGAGTTATGAACATCACTGCCCTTAAGGTTAATGTAAATCAGACAGTAGAATGGCCATACACCCACTGTGAATGAGTGTGTTACAATGCATAAAAGCTAAATGTAAGCAGCAATTATGGCAAAGCTGAAGGTTGTTGCCGTAAATTTCCGGCTGCACAGGGTCTGAAGCGTGTATGAAAATAAACCTTCAGTTCATACAGTTCAATCTAGTTCCTCTACTTGCTTTCACTTTCCTAACACAATTAGGATCACAGATTTCAGCTAGTCATTACAATTTTTTAATCTCCCGCTTCAGTTTCTGAATCTCCAGATACAGTTTCTTCAGTTCCAGCAGGGTTCCCAGTTCCGTCAGAGGCACATCACAATGGAGAAACTCTTTACTCTCACGTGCTCCTGCACATTCTTCAGTATTGCTTTGCTTTTTCTATGAAAGAGAGGAAGAGGGAATGGGATTATGCTGCAGAAGAGAAGGATTTACCCTTTGAAATATGCTTGCTTCTTTTTGGGTTTGAACCCTCAGTCAGTGTGTTACCTATATCTGTATCATACAGTCTGTCAGACACAGGCCTGATACTGAAAAGGCCTTCACACCCACAATTCTTATTGACGTCTATAGGGGCTGATAGTTTTAAGCAACTTTGAGAAGGTTCTAAACAACTTGCAGAATCAGGCACTTGGATTGTCAACTCCTTGAGCCGGAACCAGGCCTCCATTTACATTTTCACAGTGCTGTGCACTAGCCCAGCAGAAGATATGCCATGTCCACACCCTAGACTGCATTGGAAGCCTCTCTATTTTATAATATGGCCAAGTTTTCATCCTGTGTGATTTTTACCTACCACATTTTACTCTCTCCCCCCCGCCCCCATGGAATAGATGCTACAAAGGCAGAAAATCTCCTACTTCAAAGCATGAGAAAGGATGGGATGGAGGAAGGACATTCTTTTGCTTTCAGATCAATAAAATTTCCCCTTCTATTGTATCAATGGCACATCTCCCTACTTGGTCTCATTGATTCATTAAAACAATGAGGACTAAGACTTTAGAAATGCAAAACACTGTTTTGTTATTACTTTTTTTTTTATTTTACACTAGAAATTGGGCAGAGTACTTCAACAAATCCAGCTGGAGTGTCCTACTTACACATTTGGGTAATGCTGTCCAGTTGCCGTTGGCTGAACAAGTAATACTAAAGCTGTCTGTGGTAGGCAGGTACCAATGGTCTGAAAATTGGTACCCAGGAGAGCATTTGAAAGTAATGCTTTCATTTACGTTGTACCACATTTTCTCATCTAATGCATTGACCATTCTTCCATTCTGCACGTCTGGCTTTGAACACTGAACTGAAAGGAAAAAGCAGACGAGAAGGTAGTTCAGTGAGAGGAGATGCACTGTGAGTGCTGCTTATTGCCTGTGATGGAAAGAGGCAGCTCTACTTAAGACCCCGTGCCCTTGGTTTACTTCACTGCAGCTGTTTTGGTTTAATCAGAGAAATAAACTATTTGTAACATCACACCCACAGTGACTCTCTGCCAAAAAACAAACATCATGAGTTCAACAAGAAAAGGGCGTGAGTGAAATCCCACCCAGTATTGTGTATCGTGGGCATTTCATGGAGTCATCAGCAGCTGAAAGTCCACCCTTGGGCAGCAGAGCACAGGTGCTTTGTTGGTTCATTTAAGGAAGTTTTATTGGCAGCCTTGGGACAAATGTGAAGTTCACTCCCTTGCACACTTGTGGCCTTCTTCTAAATAGCCTCTTTGGTGTACTGCAGAATTAGCCCCCCACCCCCGTTGCACTGAGGGACAATTGCAAGTCAGTGGAGTTGCCTTAGATTTACACAGGTGGAACCAAGGGTAGAACTTGGTCCTTAATGGTGTCTTAGGCTTCTATAGTGACTTTCATCCTGCAGGATGCCAAAGGCTTTGATTAGATACCACAGTGACTGGCTCTGTACAAACCCCTTAGATAACTGTAAGGAACCACTTCCCCAGTGAAACAACTACCTCTGGGGGCAGTAAGCATGAAGGGTTGTTTCAGGACTGTCTACAGAATGCAGACATGAATGGAAAACCAGATTCTCATGCACACTAAGACCTCCGGCAATAGAGAGGTCCCTGAGTCCTTAAAGTTTCGTCTGGAAATCAGCCCCCACCACTCCTTCATCTCACCTCCAACCCCCACAGAGCAAACTCTACAGAACTGAATGTGTCTACCTCTGAAGGAAGAAAGGCTGAGTCTGCCTTGGTGAGCTTCAAGTCTGTGACTCTGTGGAGCCAGACTTGTCAAACCTGAGGATTCGCACACTCAGCCATTCTGGCCAAGGAAGGGCTAGTCAATAGCAAATTGATTAAGGGGCAGTCAGAAGGTTTGGGGGTTGTTGTTTTTTTGCAGGCTCGGAAGTCATGGCTGTTCATTGGCAGTTGAAGAGTACAAGGCACCACTTTTTCAGATTTTGGTACAAGCAGCCTGGGGTCCTTGATAAGCACCTTTTCTAAACTGGAAAAATCCATCATTAAATCTGGTCCACTCCTGAAGAAAGCTACTTGGACCTAAACACCGGGGTTGCTTGGTCCTTATCCTATTAAATATATATTGCGTTGATAAATATTTGCTTCTTTGGGTTCCCTTCCACAGTATAGCCAGGGGAGTTTCAGCAATGCGTGTTTAGTCATAATTAGCATCTGTCTTTGAAGTACTTTCCTAATTAATCCTCATAACACCTCTTCAAGGTAGCTGGGATCCACGATCTCCACTTTTACAGATGGGAAATGGAGGCAGAGAGGAGAAATCCCTTGCTCAAGTCACCCAGGGAGACTGGCCTGGGGCAGGAAGAGGGTAAGAACTCAAGGGCCTTGGATTCCAGTGCTGTGCTCAGACCACCTCTCCCTCTATGGTGCCGTTCCTAGGGCTCAGCGTACACGTGCCAGACCAATCCCCATACCTCAGTTCACCATTTACACTGACCGGGCTGACAACTGGGCACAGGAGGATTCCAGGTGTTGTCATCCTGACACTGACTCACTCGACTGCCATGGAGCAGGTAGCCTTCCAGGCAAGAGAACCGAACGGTGACACCGTATGTGAACGCTTGCCTTGTAGTCGTCACTCTTCCATTTCCAACCTCTGGCCTCGGACAGCGAACCACTGAGGAAAAACAACAAAATGGTTAGTGCTACATCTGAGACAGGGAACAAATCAAGGCCAATACACTTCAATAGCAGCTGATCTGTTTCCAGGCACACTAAACATGGGGGGTAAAAAAACACAACTACATAAGAATATCAGATTCTTGACCTTTTAGTAGACGATTCACAATGACATTGAGACTACTGGGAGGGGAGAAACTTTATATGGCAGGTTCGGTATGTGGGTGAATGCTTTCAATGCTGTTCTCTTTCCCCAGCTTCCTATTGCCAAATCAAGGCACCAGGGTTATTCCATTTTTTTGGAATCAGGCTGTTCCCTCAAACACTCTCTGAGGCTGCATCCAGAGGGGCCCATACCTAAAGGGATGATTCCAGGAGAGCTGGGTTGGGAACCAGATCTAGGAGATGGGTCAGTGGGGTGGGGGAATAAGTCACTGGGGGTGAGACTCACACATCAGCTGGAACACAGGTCCAGTGGCTGGTGGCACTGGCCAGTGAGGAAATCAGTAGGGAGTAATTATTATATGTTTGACAACAGGGATCTGTGGTGGAGGAGGTTCAGTGGTGGTTCCAGGCCAACAGTTTAGGTGGGGCACCGTAACCCTCCTTAGCTGCTCTCTAGCTCTGCCTGGGGCTAGTATCTCAGAGCCCATTCGCAAAGCCCCTGATGCACCTGCCAGGCTGTACATGTTAAGCATCTCCTGCATGCAGGGGAATCCTGCTGCCCCTACAGCGCTCACTATTCCGTGTGGGCTGCAAGAACAGCTGCCCCTGCTGGGATCCTTCACGTGGAAGTTGGAAGATCTACCTGGTTATTTTAATAGCTGTGGGACCTATTCAGCTCTGGCAGTTTGCAGCTAACACAGCAGTGGAGCCATCTGCACTCCAGGGTGGGGTTTGCCACCAGACCAGGAGGGATAATGCACCACCCAAAGCTTTAGTTTCCACCCAGGGATCCATACGGATGGGGATACCTTGGGTCAGTGCAGCCTGAGTGCCATAGCCACACCCCCTCCTGGCTTTTCACCACCCACGTCAGCAGTAATCCTGGACTTCAAAGAGGATTGTGGGAGGGATTAGGAGCGGCAGACAGCTCTGCTCATTTTCAGCCCCACTTACAAAAAGTGTTGGGACGTTATACCTGGGTCTCCAGAAAGTACCCTCTACTCTTTGTAATTTAGAGTCACGGAGAATGACTTACCTTTGCACTGCGGGGCAGGTCCGCTCCACATCATATTTACCCCATCAGATGTGCAATAAATGGAGGACTCTCCAATCAGTGATAAACTGTCTCCACAGCTATAGGTCACTTGAGATTCATAGGGGAAATATTCCTTCATCCCACCATTGTGCAGCCCGTTCATGAGAGTTGGAGGTCG